AATAAGATCCTGCATTTAATTTCACTCAAAGAACTTATTGGACTTGGCACCAAAAGAAAGAATTTGCAGTATATTTTTGTCATGATTAGTGGTCCCCTTGCCACAACATTTGATTATTTTGGAAAGGGAAAAGTTAAATCCTTGTAAAGTTGTGATTTACAATTTGCGAGCATCCAGGTAGGGAGTGCAACTTCTGCCAGCTCGATCATGGGATCCACATTTCACTCTAGCTCATTGATATGAGAAAACAAAGCCCTTCTGGAAGGGAAAGAGAAGCTGGAGTGATACCCTGCATTGTCCTGGGAGATTTTTCTTTTTCCATGTCACCTCTTCCTGACCTGATGATTTTGTCTCCCCTGGAAGTCATAGAAAGAAACTGGCACCAGGCTGCATTCGACGGTATTTTTAATCACGCGATTTGTTTGCCCTCAAAGTTATGCAAATCTTGGCAAAGGAGTTGAAAGAACTTTCTAATTTTATACCTGAAAATAATGTTCACTGAACTTTTTTATTCCCTCAAGCTTTATAATTAAGATTGAAGATCGTGTGGGTATTTTAGTACTGACAAATATTTCCAAATAGCCAGGAGGGGATTGAATGACCAACTGGGTAGGACAGTGGCTATTTTCTGGATACCTGCAGCGCTCTCCCCTACACTCTCCTGCATTATCCTTGACATTAAGAGCATTGTTTGCAGAAGTCACATTCCTTTGTGTGCTCAGCTTTCTGAAACGATGTTGCATATTACTGGAGGATGGATGTAAATTCCAGGGTGTGGAAAGAGGCAGACAAGGTACCTTCTGTCCTCCTAAAACACAGAAAGAACTGTGCAGCTCCTGGGTCAATTATTAAGTGCACTTTAAGAATACATTCCACATCTTCTACTGTTTTTGGAGGATGTGTTTCTAGGTGGACTAGTGCTTGTGAAATCGCTGGTACTGAAGTTCTCATTCTGCTAAGTATGAGAGAGCAAACTGCTGAAGCATATAGCAGTGAGAGGTGCTGCCCGCAGGGGAAATGCCTTTTTTTTCCCCTCTCATTCTGGACTTAGGCAGAAGATAAAGATAAATATAAATATAAGGATTCCGTTCATATTTGGGTTGTTTTATGCTTGTACAGCTGAGCGTCATGGTCACTGCATGGGGGAGTGGGGACACAGAGTCTGAGTTCCGATTCATTTGTGGCTTTATAAAAACTGTTTATCGTGTCTAAGCCTCGGATTTCCCATCTGTACCACGAAATAAATCAAACAGATCCCCTGCATTTGGCTGTGAAGAGCTAGAAAGAGTTAATATAAATATTTCATGATGAGCCCGTAATGACTGGTACTTAATATAAATCCTAAGTGTTAGCTGCTGAGGCTGTTTGGTATTGACCACATTAGCAGATTACTTCTTGATTACCTGCCGTGGAGGTTGAACTTAATTTCTCTTCAGAGGTGAAATAAGAACTTTTGTTCTTCCCATTCTCCCTGACTCAAATAACTGTAAATTAGTGGCAATTCTTGAGTTGCCTCCACTTTCCCGGAGCTACTGAAGAACTTGAATTAAAAGTTAAATAATTTTATATTAATGCAGTGTCTTCAAAATCACAAAAATAAACTCCAAGTTTCTTTTACATTCTCATGCTTTTAGGAACCTAGACATCTATTCTTTTGCTCCATTTCTCTGCTCCCTGGCCCTTTATCTTCTCCTCCCCTCCCTCTTTGGTTCCTTGCCCCTCCACCCCCTTGCCTTACCCCTTCTTTAATTCTCCTCTTTCCTTTTTTAAGATTATCTTTCTTGAGGATGGTTTATTCCAAGCAGTCTGTGGCCATAAGACAGCACACATTCCTTGCTCCATAGAAGATCCCATGGCTGGCAATCACAGATAACAAATGCATAAATGCTTTGATGTAAGGTAGGCCACCGATGATGTCTATATTTTACCTCAGGTGTGTGTAAGAAACTCTCAGTCACAAGTTACTGTTGTGTTCTCTTCCCTGGATATCCCTCCCCCCACTGGCCCCAACCTGCTTTTACAAAAGAACAATATTGCAATCTCCTCGTCTGAAACGATGCCACTTTCAAGCTTACTAAGGACATACTTATCTTTCTCAGAAGAATTCCAAACTCACCCTGTTATTACATTACAACAACTCACTCAGATCCAACTGATGATCTTTGTAATGTGTATATGCACTCTTGTGTGGTACCGATGTGAAATTTTCACGAGCTCCTGATTGAAAGCTGACTGCTATGGTATCTTCAGTGTTCCCTGTCATATATAGGTGATGGAAGAAGAAAGAGTTAAATTCACTGAAATAGCCACATTTAAAGGGGAAAAAAGAGAACAGCTCACAGTGGTCAAGGACCCTCAGCATAACCTGTATTTCTTGAACTAGAATGACACAGCTTCTCTTTTGACTGGAAGGGGAGGGTACTCTCACATCTCTTTACTGACAACCACGTCTGGGATACAAGGTAACATTCCTCCTTCTGTAATAGAGTAGCTTTAGCAGCTTCTGTGGTTCTCAGGTTACTTTGGGGACTGACTTAGAGACTGACCTTTAACATCAGCAAACCCCACAGTGTTTTTCAAATTAAGTCTGTTTTCTACCACATACGAGTAGCATTAGTATATTCCCAAGGAGAGAGCTGAGACTCATATCTGACACAGGTAGCAATGGTCTAGCCTTCCCTCCAACAAGGCATCCCAGTCTTTTCACCATTCCTGTGGCCACTTCCTTTTCAGTTAGCACTTGAGTAACTCAGAGCCTTTCTGTTCCTTAAAGCATACCTCTATCAAAGGTACTGTCGAACAATCTGTAATACATTGGTTTTACTTTGGCATAAATAAACGTCATTAGTAGTTGGGCTTTTATAATTCTATTGATGAATTTAGTAAAAGTATTTCTCACTTAGCAGGCTGGAGTAGACTTCCCCCTTCTTCCCTAATCTATGTCTAGTGAAAACACTACTCACGCTGTTTGAAAACAATGTTGAACTTAGAAAAATGATGTGACAAAGATTGTGACCAGTGCTAACTGAACCACAAAACATGATGTAGAACATTAAAAATCATTTCTTTGGTCTCATTAGAGCCTCATTGGATCAGACAGATCCTCTGGATAGGATCCTGCAAGTGGTGTTTTTAATAGCCAGCCACCTCCCCAGGCAGTTCAGGACCAAGCACGTCCATCTAAACTAGATCAAGACAGGGACAGCTTATAAGCATAAGAGAATAATGGATGCAACACGACATTGCTTGATACACAGAAGAGCTTGTCAATCATTGTTCTGTCTTTTTCAAGTGCATGCATAGTTTGCATTATCACCGAAATTTTATTGCTTGCCTTAGATCTTATCCTTCTCATATTGTAAAACTTTAATATACCGAGAAGATAGGAAGCTATATTCAGATTGCCGTCAGAGTGAATGAATGAGACTTAATGCTACAGTCAGGAGGCAGGGAAGCTGTAAACAACACCCACCTTACGTCATCCCAAAGCCCATGCAATCCAGCAGCCCCCTTTCTGCATTGCTAGGTACCCCACATGCCGCCCTTCCTTTGCTTTTGTTGATTTCATTTACCTTCTCTTTCTGCTATGAGGTTACTTCATAAGCTTTAAACAATTACTGGAGGATTATAAAAACCCAGTTCTAATAACTTTGTAATGTATTATTTCTGTATTTATGAACTCAAAAATGCTTCCAACATGAACATAGTAATTATCTCATATTTGACTACATGAGATTGAAATGATTATGAATTATTCCTTTCTATGATTTTAGCAGTTCTTTTTCTCTGGCCATCTAGAGAATAATGATTGAAAATTTCAACAAAAAATACATTCTAAATGTGATGATTCCTTATTTAGTGAGACACTCATAGATTGAGCGGGTTATACTTAGGAATGTATGTGTATATACACATATGCCTATAATAACTAATAAAAAGGAGGACATAAATTTGAGAAGGAACAAGGAGGGGTGCATGGGAGAGTTTGGAGGGAGGAAAGAGAAGGGCAAAATGTTGTGCCTTTATTATTACAAAAAATTAAAAATTAAATAGATTTTTCTATCACAAAGATAAAAGCAGCCTTTAACTCCTTCAAAATACCTAATGTTAACAGTTTGTTTTGTGTCTTTTATACAGTCTGTGACTCTTATTTTATAAATTTTAAACTGCATTTGGTCTCTAGTTTATAAATCTTTGGCCAGTTACCAGTGGCATTTGTGTTAACCCAAAAGAACAGAATGAAATGCTCAGGACTTGAGATCATTCGTCTTATGGATTTCCAGCTCTCTTCATGTAAGGATTTGTGAACCCAGCAAAGAGAAAGAGTTAAGCCTATTCCCCTAGTTGGCACAAACTTTGTAGTTTAAAATTACATACTGACTCTGGTGTAGAGACACAAGAAATTATAGAGCAGACACTGTCCAGGACAACGTATAATTTAAAATGTACTAAAGAATGTATACCGCATGGCAAAGTAAGTGAAGTGCTTCTTCAAATCTAAGTGTTTTGCATAGAAAGGCAGTAATTATCCACTCCTAGAGAAATGTTTGCATTCATTCTAAATCAATATTTACTGTTCATTTCTTGTGTTCAACAAAACAGGGATTTAACTTTTTTTTAATTTTAATGAAGCACTAAGACTACAATATTTCTACAATGTAATTGTCTTGATATGAAATATTGCTAAATGGTGTTGCTATTTCGAGAAAGAGCAGTGTGAAATGGAAGGGCAATCCTATTTGTGAAATGTTACTTTGGGAACATTCAATTCAAACCCAGCCAAGCAGGGCAACCCACCAGTTCTCGAGATAACTTAAGCTGTCTCCTCGGCATGCCCTTAACTAGGATCATGCAGATGAGTTTTTTGCCTTTGTATTTCCCCCTTTCTCTTAATATATACTTCTTAACAAGAATTTGGTTTCAAGTCAACTATTGCCTTTGGTCTTTGTTTCTCTCTCACATGCGTACTCTGTGTGTGTGTGTGTGTGTGTGTGTGTGTCTGCCTGACTGTCGCCTGTCTTTCTGTCTCTCCCTCCTTCTGTGTGTGTGTGTGTGTCTGCCTGTCTGCCGCCTATCTGTCTGTCTCTCCATTTTCTCTCTCTCTCTCTCCCTCCTTCCCTCCCCCCCCTCTGTTTCTGTATTGGTCTCTGTCTGTCTCTCCCTCCTTTTCTCTGTGGTTGTTTGTCTGTGAGTCTTTGTCTGTCTGTTTCTCTCTCTCTCTCTCTCTCTCTCTCTGTTTCTGTCTCTCCTTCCTTCTCTGTGTGTGTTTCATGTTAGCAACTTTTCTGTATAAGCATTTATTTCCTGTTATAAGAAAAGACCCTTCTTTCACAGTGTAATTCAAAGGAATGTCAAGGAAGCCAGGATGAGCAGATAAGAAAACAGAAGCCACGAGCACTGTCCATTTCTGGTAAATTTTTGAACTTATGGAGCTTATGATCTGATCATTCTGAGACTTTTCTTTAGAGATGATTACTAATTTTTAAAAATAGAGACTGCAGAAAGAACCGGAAGGTAGAACGCTATGTTCCATTATATCACAGAATTTCTTTCTTTCTTTTTTTTTTTTTTTTTTTTAGGGAAAAGCAGTTACGGCTTTGCCGAGTTTCATGTCAGGACAGGACTAACATACAGCATGACCATCCCAGAACACAAGTTTCCTGTTATTCTTTTTTTTTTTTCCTTTGTGTTGTTGTTATTATTGGGGTAAGGTAGTCTTATCAATGGAACATTTCTCTGAAACTTTCAACATCTCCATGAGAGTTTTCAGGTTTTGCATTGATTGCCTTGTTTGATATTAAAATTTCAGGAATATTACGCTTTTCTGATTAGTGCATTCTACAGTCTCCTAATATCATTTTAAATGAGATCTAGAGTGAGAAAAACAGAAGGCATACAGCTTTTCTGCTTTTCCACAATACAAGTGGCTTTTCTTAAGTGGCTTTGGAGTGTAGTTGTGCAGGAGTCTCTACTGAATGGCCCTGTGCCCTTCTGCTTTTTTATAATTGATACAAGCTCTTAGAATGTGTTACTCTTTGGTATATACTCTGAGAACAAATAATATCATTTATATATTATATACTGTGGTTGGTGCTCTATTTTATCTTCCTTTTTCACTGACAAGAGACAAGGGTGTTGCTTATAGTTGTACAAGTAAATTGGGTGCAGAAACCCGCCCTTCGCCTTCTGAGAAAAACACCTTCTTTCTGCAGGAAATGCTCTTATAAACTGTACTATTATAAATGGTGTGTTAGTCCTCAGGCCAGTTCTGTCTCACTGTACAAAGTAACAGCATGTTCCTTTAGCATCCAGTGGAGAGCACCAATGGGAGAGCAAGTGGTTAGGGCATGTTCCTAAAATCGGGTAAATCATTGGAACACTACAAGAGGAATAGAAGTTGCCTGGAATGAACCTCTAAAGGGTCATTTTAAGAAACAGCAACTGATTATGAACAGAGCTTTTACTCCAGTTACTGGAGGGGGCCTGCAAACCCATTCTACAACACCTAGTGAAATGTCTAATAGTTGAGATGTTTTCTGTACAACGCATAAAGGGTAATGAGGAAGGCTTTAGTAGTTTTTAAGAAAGGCTCTGTAGCCTCTCAACAAAACATGAGCACAGTGTTAGTGGCAAATTCTGGAAGACCCCAATATAAAAAGTGGCCATGACATCTAGGTATGGCTGTTACCTGGCTAACTTTGTGCAAAGAGAATCCTGATGTAACTTTGTATGTGAGGGAAAAATGAAAGTAAAGGATGTCAGAGTACAAAATCTGAGGTCTCATTTACTAATACTTCAGAAGACATTTGTTTGAGTTATTAAAATATTAAATGTCTAAATGTTAAAAACATTTAGAATTATGTTTTTTTCTTCTCTTTACCAAGTCTAAAATGTAATTAAAATTAAGAGTCATTTTTTTTGTTTTAATGTTATGTTTGGATGAAAATCATTCTTTTTATTAGTTGGCATTAATAATATTATTTGCTTTTGTATACTAAAATCAGCCCCGAAATTTTCCTTTTATTGTCACCCCCAGTTCCATCAACAAATACATCATATATTTTTTTAAATCAACATAAATGTTTAAGTATTTATATTATTTAGTTTTGAAGAAACAAGTTTTATTGACTATTTTTATGGGCTTTTTGCTACTGTCAGTAAAAATATTATTAAAAAGAACTACCCCTAGTTCTCTGCTTTGACACTGAGGGTATTCATACTAACCCTGAGTTCACAATTTCAGACTATGACATTCATACACTGAATAAGAATGAGTACCAGTTCGAGTTTTTTCATGTTCTGTGATTCAATATATGGTATCTTTAGCAGTAAGGTCTTATCATCATGTTCTGGAGGGTAGACAAGAGTGTTGGAAGTTGTCTGTAATACTTGGAGGTCTATGTTACTTCATTAGCCAAGAACTTGAAAAGATAACCCATCCCCTGTCTGGTTTATTTTATTTTATATGGTGGGAGTACCATGAGGTGTCTCGTTGGGATGAGAAGGATTAAAGTCTGTTCAAGTATAGAAGGACAAGGCAGACTTAAAAATATGTGGAAGCCTTTTTAAATATTCATATAGAAAACTACTGCTAACACACACACACAATTCAATGGAGTTACCTTACAACTGAGGATAATATTCCAACTAAATAAGTATATTTTGTATATTAGATATATACAAAATCTATAGATAGATTGGGCATGAATCTTCCTTGAGAAAGTGAAACCTTCTTATCAATGAATGAAATTGACCTTGTTGGAATTCCTGTGGAAGTAGGAAGATATGTTAAACTACAGTGCAAGTCAAAGGAGTGTACAATTTATTTGAAAATCTGAGGAAATTCATGTTGGCTGAGTAAGGATCATTCAAGGCTTAGAAATATAACAAGAAAGGGAAAAGAGATTTGAAGCATTTACAATTGATTTTGAGATTATGACAGAAACTTTGAAATGTTTAAAATAAAACATAATCACAAAAGGCTTGAAAATGTTCAAGTTCATTCAGCTTCAATTTATTGATAGAAGCACAGACAGCCTAAGAGAATTGTGTGTGAATTTTAAAGAAAAGGAATATTGTGATGGGTATCCATGGTTGTCAACTTGACTACATATTGGATTAACTAAAACTGATGTGGGATTTCCCTCTGTATGCTGTGAATACCATTGGTTAATAAAGAAACTGTCTTAGGCCTGTGGGAAAACTAAACTAAATGCTGGAAGAAAGGAGGGGGAGTTATGGAGAAGCCATGTAGACCTGCTGAAGACAGATTCTGGAACTTTACCTGGTAAGCCACAGCCTCATTGCGATACACAGATTATTAAAAATGGGTTAAATTAAGATGTAAGAGTTAGCCAAAAAGAAGTTAGAGCTAATGGGCCAAGCAGTGATTTAATTAATACAGTGTCTGTGTGGTTATTTTGGGTCTGAGTTGCTGGGCAGCCAGAAAACAAACAAGTGACCTCTTGCAACAGAGGAAAGGGTTTATTTAGCTTACACATCCACTTTGCTGTTTGCTACTGAAGAAAATCAAGGGCAGGAACTCAGCAGAGAGACAGAGACACGGCTACTTTAAGAGGTTTTTCTAACCAATGGTATACAGAGGGGAATTCCACATCACTTATGAAGAAGCCAAGGGGGGATGCTGCCTACTGGATTCATTCCTCTGGCTTCCTCAACCTGCATTCTTATAGAACACGGGACTGCCAGACCATGGATGGTATCACCCACAATAAGCTGATCCTTTCTCTATCAATCACTCATTAAGAAAATGCCCTATAGCTGGATCTCATGGAGGCATTTTCTCAGCTGAAGCTCTTTCCTCTCTGATAACTCTAGCTTGTGCCAGATTGACACACAAACCCAGCCAGTATACCCTGGCAAGTTCATTTCTTCACTGAAGCCTACTTCTTTGGGCTCCAACTGAAATACTGAAGACAAGCTGAGAATTCTAGCCTGGTAGACTGAACAAATACCAGGGAATTTGGGACCTTCCATTCATAGTCAGCCATTGTTGGACTAACTAGACCACACCCTGTAAAGCATTCCAATAAATCCCCTTTATCGTTCTCATGTATATGGATTTCCTTAACATAAGTTTGCGAACTGTGGTCAATGGAAGAGTTTCCACCACCCAGGCAGACACTGGAGATGACGTGAGAAAGCACATCATTAAGTATTTGGAGGAATTACAACTTATTGAAGGAATAGACAGTGAATGACTAAAATTATTTTAAATATTTGTTGGAGGAAAATGATCCCAGGAATATGTAGGAAAAAAAAGGAGGCAGAAAATAATAAGGTTCAGCAATCCACAGTTTTTTCTATATGCAAAAGCCATATTAAGCAAACATTGAGGTACTGAGGATTCTGTAGGTTAGAGAAACAGAACAGGCACAAAGAGACAGGTTTGGAAAATGGGTGTGAACAACGTAAGTGTTAGAGTTTTGGGTGACACAAAGGATGACTAGTGTGTTGCTGAAGGATCTCACTGCCAGTGCAAGATCACAATTTCCAGTTTCCCTTCTTTAAAAGCTCAAGAAAAAAATGCTTTGATTGGTCAAATCTTTCTTTAAAGCACTGTTTTGTATTCTGGGGACAAAGATGCTCTTGTGTCCTATAAATTTCAATAACTAGCTTTGACTAACATATGATAAAAGTTTATTCCAATGCAAACCTTAAAAAACAAAACAAAACAAAAAAGAAGCAGATAAGGGTAGATGCTACGTTAGACAAAATAATAGCAGAGGTCATTAGACAAGAGAAGAAACATCTACTAAATGCAGATAGTTTATGCAAAATGGAAGTTCTAATTTAAAAAAGAAACAGTGTGAATAGAATGGTAGTACCTCTAGAGTTCAGACAGATGGAAGAATGAGGGAATGAACATGTGAATCGGATGCAAGGAGATAGCCAGTGTAGACAACTATTTCATGGAAGTGTGGTTCATCATAGGATGAGGACTAATACACTTCATGTTTTGGAGGCATTCAGAGGTTCGTAAGTCAGGATTTTCTGGTTCTGATGGCCAGAGGAAGAGACTAAACTGTTATAAGACCTTATATACATCAATGTCCATTTGGGGACATGTATACAGACACTAGAATCCCTGTCCCATTGAAAGACACTGGCGAAGAGCACAAACATGTAAGCAGCTTTACCTTTTCCTTCTAAGCCACGAATGACTCGGTAGATAATTTGGTTACAGTTATATGCACTAGAGATGCATACTGAGGAAATAGAGAACGCTGAAGTCTTTTCTTCATAAGGACCCCTGGAAAGGATTTCAAATGCTCAGTGACGTAGAAGTTATCCTTCCTCACAGTGCCTACCATGATACTGACATTGAACTATGTCTATGCTGCTGAGATGCCAGAAGTATGTTATTAATTTTATAGACATAAGCCTTAACTTACAAGTCCTGACAAGGGATGATGCATTTTGTTTTCTTTGGAAAATTTTGTTGTGGGGGTTATTTTGGGTTGCATGGTATATTCTTTTATCCATTGTAGCATTTTTATGATACAGCCCTGTAATGAAAAAAGTGACAAAATTGTGTTTTTCAGTTTTTTTAAACAAAAACTTCCCTGCTCAAACACTGGGAAAAAAAAACTGAAACCAATAATGAGTATATTTTACTGCTTTGTGTCTAAAAATGGCACTGACCAGTTTAAAGTATTTTTTAAAAACCTGAATATTTATGCAGTTTGCCTACCAAGATGAAAATTGGTGAGCTGTAAACCCTTAAAAACAGAGTTTATAATGGAAACAGTAATTGACCCTTTCGTACAACATCAAAAATACAATACTATATAATACAAAGCCCAGGGCTCGGGATCCCATGCCATCCCACCTCTGCTCTAACCTCAGACTGGCTCCCTAACCCAACACCACAGAGCTAACTAATAGTTACATTTTGAGATGTCATCTCCTGGTACAGCAAGGAACATGGGTGTGTGATCCGGTAATTATATCCAGTTAAACTTCACAGACCAGCACCCTAAGTATGTTTAATAAATTCAATACTCCAACAACAACAAAGTCACTGGGCTTGCTCTAAAACATAACTGGTATTTTAAAAGAAGTAAGAAGAAAGTAAAGGAACCCCTCTGGTTTGTGCTGTACCGTATCATGGATTTGGGGCATGGACTATACACACCACTGCGTGCAATGAGGGTAGAGACCAACTGTTGGAAAAGCTTGTGGGATTACAGAAGAAATAAAACAAGGCAAAACAAAAACTTGAAATATTTAGAGCGTGTTTAACTTTGCCCTAGTTCATAGTTGGTTGAGTTTCCAACTTTTAAGCCACAGGAATCCGTTTTTTTTTCTTTTTTCTCTTTGGCATGAGAGGATGCAATCTAAATTACAAAGGAGAGCATAAGTATTAAACCTGACTAATATAATATCTAAGATAACTTCAAATGCTAGGAATCATTGAGGCAGTGGGCAAAAGAGGTACATATGTATGTGTGCATATATGTGTTTGATTTTATATGTATATGTATATATATATATACACACTACTTGGATATATGTAATTTTTCTGTATGTGTACTTTAATATATTTTATTGATTATTTGAGTTTCATACATGTGTATAGAATTTTTTCCACTCTTTGTTCTATTTTTTTTATCACAGGGAAAGGTTTAATGGAGTTTATTGTTAAAGAAAATGAAGAGATCACTTTCTTCCCAAAGTCGAAATAATTTGAAATAAACATGCTAGGTTATTTCTGCGCTTGCTTCTGAAGAATTTGTCAGCTGAAAATAGTTTAGCGTTTTCCTTTTATGAAAGACGTCATCTATTTGCACATATTTCCAGCAGGTCGTGCTGATCAAGTGGCCCTTGGCAGGACTATTTGGTATTTCCTTGTGAGGATTCTGTTTCTTTTGTTGCCCTTTTAGCTTCTGGTCATGGTCAGAGGAAACTGACAGAAATATCATGAACTCAGCTCTGCCACCTCTTCTCAGATACCCTCTCACCAAGACCACACATGCACTTTGGAGAAAGTACTATAGAAAAACATTGGAACTGAAATAAAGATGGTTACTTTCTTTGTGGGAGTGTTTTCGAAGTGGTATCTGTTCTGGACGATAGCAATTTTAGTAACAGCAATTTAACGGCTCTTTTTGTAAACCGATGTGAATAACCGAACACTTTCTAAACCTTTGAGACTTCAAATGAAATAAATGGTGACATTAATACAGAGCACTCCTGACTTTTTCCTTGTCTTTTTTCAAGTGCTAAGATCTGGCCAGGGTTGCCTCACTCGATTTATTACCTATTCTGCTCCTTATTTATTATCAGAAGTAAATGCATATCATTCTAATTTTCTTTTTCATTTTTTTTCATTTATCCTTTTTATTCTTCCGTGTGCCAACTTTGCTTTATTTTATTTTATACTGTCCATTTATTCTGTAACTTGTTCATGGAGTATTATAACCACACATAAATAATTATGTAGTAGGCTAAGATTGTGAAGCATTGAGTTCATTTTCATTTTACTTCCTTACATTTCTTGGTCTTTCCCAAAGACCCAGAGAAAGAATAACACATTGAAATGTGAGAGAAAAAAATGAATATAATCTTAGCTTTTGAGCCCTCAAAAGCTGATTCCTCTGGGGAAGCAGAAGAAAGAATTCAGGGCATAGGCGAAACATTTCAAAAATCATCATTAAAAATAGTCACATTTCCCTATTACTATTAGGTTAAACCTCAGCTTGGAATTACAAGGAGCTGAAAATTAAACACAAACAATTTAGAGCAAATCCTGTGCTCCTCCATTAATTCTAAGTGGATGCAAAGAGGAATGCATGAGAGCAGGGAGATTTAGGGCATGTCCACAGAGGGTTCTGTTTATATACCAAAAAGCCTGAGACAAGAACTCTAGTGTAGGGTCTGGCCAGGATGAGGTCTTTGGGATATGAAGTGACCTGGCCTTTACCAATATAATTCACATACGTGCTTCATGGTCTTGCCTTCCAAATCTATTCAGGACTGAGAGCTTTTTTTTTTTTCTTTATCTTTTTCCCTTGCCTTACATCTCTGAATAAAATTTAGGTAGTTCCACTGGGATTGCAGGAACCTTGAAAAATACCCTCTCTCACACTTATGTGCACACACACACACACACACACACACACACTACCATACTTTAAGCACACAAAAGTTAGGCTACTAGAGGAGATGCTGAACATTCTCAGAGCCCATGTAGATTCACAGGCTTTGCTACAGTTTGCAAACTCAGGCTTATCAGAACTTGGGTTCTATTTAGGGAAGGGCACATGTCTTCCCATGCTTGGATTCTCAGCTTGTCGAGTCTAGGACTTCTATTCTTTCCTTTCCTAGCACAGAGTCAGGTAGAGGAGGAAGCAGAGGACTAGAAATTTCTCTTTGGGATTCCCTTCTGTCTTATGTTTAAGTGTACTACTGTATGGTCTTTTGGGACATTTATCTTTCTTTATTTGTATGATATTTTAGTTCTACCTCCCTGAGAAATGCCTATTGTGTGAGTTTTATTTTCTTGCATCCTTACTTGAGGCTCAAGATAAGAATAGTTCAATAGGATTGTGTATTTTCAAAGTTATGACATCTTTTTCCTGAACTAAAAATATAGATGGTATTAATTGGTTGAGTATAGAATATCCAAGGGCTCCAAGGAAGTATAAATGTTTACGTTTTAAGATAACACTCTTCTATAACAACAATGAAGCTCTGTATTGAATACTTGACTCACATGTTTAAAGATATACTCTTCAAAGGCAAAGGCATCTTTATGTTCATTATTTCGTGCCTAGCATGTTGCACATTAATACAGTAAGTACTCAACATATAAACAGTAAGTTCATTCATTGTTGGATAAGTTATTTTTAAATGGAGCAAACAAGTAGATTAAAGCTATTCTTTTCTTTCTGCTTTTCGGTTTTCCTATTCTGTCCCGAGAAAGGTCTTAGATGGTATATTTTATCCACTGTTCTTGAGAACTCCTGATTATAACCAATTTTTTTATGACTTTCTCTTCACCTGGATAAAAAAAACAAAAATAAAAACAAAACAAAGCAAACATAGGAGAGATCCAGTAATTAGACTATTTTAAGCCTATTTATCTTTGTGAGATAGGAATAGACTACTGAAGGAAAAGCACTTACTTAGAGTTACTGGGAACTCCTGGCAACAATGAAGTTGGTTTCATTGCTGTAGTGCAGCTATGACAGGAAATAGAAGGCTCACAGAAACACTGCTTTTTTCTTAGTTCTGAGTTTTACAAAAGAAGTTTCTTTTAAAACCCTGTCTCGAAAAACCAAAAAAAAGAGGATGTTTTAAAGTTTTCTTTTCTTATTCTCTGTTCAAAACAAAGATACAAGGTGAATTAATCCTTGATTATTCTTTAAGATTGTCTCTGTTTCACCTGTGAGAAGTTCCCACATCCCAGAACAGGCTACTTGAATACAATTCTCTTTGATGGAAATGGAGGTAAGTTTGTTCCTGAAAGCACACATTTTTGTTTTGTTTTGCTTTTTTGTTGTTGCGGGTTTTTTTGTTTGTTTACTTTTTGCTATTAGTGTGTGACACAAGTCGCTAAGCTAAGTTCTTTCACTCTTGGACAAAGAGACATTCAGTTCTGAAAACTAGACTTTCTAACTAGTCCCTACCCTTAGGACATATAAACAAATAGATGAAAATATTCTTACAGTCCGTAATTCGCAGAGATAACTATAGGCTTCACAGATATTATCATGTGCAAGTGTGTGTGTGTGTGTGTGTGTGAATATTTGAACAATATACATGTTTCAGATAAATGAAAGTAGCTTAAGCAGGAGCCACTGGGAGATATACCTTTCCAGTGGATCACACAACGTAAGTGGATTGCTGCTTAGTCTTCAGCCTGACCCTTATTTACTTCATAAATGTCATTGTTGTCACTCAAGCATAGCCCAAACAATCTAAAGTTCAATTTTCAAAAACCAGTAAATAGGCTGGAGCAGATGGTACATAACTCTAATCCAAGTCACTCAGGAGACTAAGATAGGAGCAATTTGAGTCAAGGTGAGTATAGGAAACAGGATTAGTTCACGGACAATCTGTATAAGATAGTGAGTCTCTGTCTCAGCAAAAAGGGAAAAAAAGAAAAGGAAAAAAACAAAAAAGAAAGGATGATTGAAGATACAGTCCCGTAGTACATCACTTGTCTCACGTGTGCTAGGTATTAGGTCCAATCCTTAGTACAGAATTAGAGTTCTAAAGTCATACTTATTTGTATGATCTTTCCTTGATGTAATTGAAAGCTAATGTCTTAGAAAGCCAGGTGGGATTTTGAGAAATTGGCTAATAAATGTAATCAATAGAGATATTCCACCATGGCGACTTGCTGTCTCTAAAATAATTAATTTCTACACTTCTGCCTAAGAAGATAAAGAAAAGAAACTTTTAATTGATGCTTTTATTGATGTTTAAAGACTGAGTGATAACTCCTGATACTTCGAAGACCATTTAACTTCTTTGAAATTCTGCATATATTTCAAAAGGAAAAATATACCATGTATTCATTCATATTTGGAATTCTTGAAGGCAGCAGTTGATTAAAAGAAACAAAAGCAGATATACAGATGCCACTTCAGTCTCAAGAAATAGATCAAATTACAGAAATGTTGGAGTCTGTGGTGGCATTGATATATCTAAAGCAGTTACCAATGAAGTATAGCTCAAAATGCAGGTTTCAACAAGACCACAAACTACATATTCGTATGTTAGCTTCATAGCTGTTCCCTTGTTATTGTGGGACTTGTCTTTCCTTTGAAATTCTGGAGGAGAAACATTAGAATAATGTTATGTTCTTTTGAGGCATATGTTTTTAAGGGTTTTTTGTTGTTTTTGTAAGGTGTGTTATCTATCTGTCTGTCTATCTATCTGTCTATCTATCTATCTATCTATCTATCTATCTATCTATCTATCTATCTATCCATCCATCATCTTTCCTTTCTGGTGATATCTGTCTGTGTATTGCCATTTTAGGCGAATACCTGGAACCTTCTCCATGATCTCAAAATGTCACTCTGTAGCCTGACTTTGTAAGGAATAATATGTGATTTCTAATGAGGCAGGCATGCTCCCATTAGATAGGCAGTAATCCCTGAAGGAGAGCCTTGCTGAGAGTTGCCATCAAGATGAGGCAAAGCCAATGTGTTAATGGATCAGAATCCCTACCAGTGTGTTCACTACTTCTTTTTCTTTTTAGAGCTTTTTCTTTCCCTTTCTCTCTGCTACTTCCTATTCCTAGTGTTCTACCACTTTTCCAAAAGTCTACAATAACCAGAACTCCAGTCTCCAGTCAACATACACCCAGGGATCTGTAACATATTCAACACACTCTAACTAATACCCTTGAACATTGTAAATGGATTTGTGTTGTTATTGTGTTGTCGGTTAGCTTTCTATTATCAAGGGTACAGACAGGGCCAGTTGAAACTGGGAGCTACCAGAGAAGCTTGATATTTTTCTTTTTTTTTATTTATTTATTAAAGATTTCTGTCTCTTCCCCACCGCCGCCTCCCCTTTCCCTCTCCCTCGCCCAATCAAGTCCCCCTCCCTCGTCAGCCCAAAGAGCAATCAGGGTTCCCTGCCCTGTGGGAAGTCCAAGGACCACCCACCTCCATCCAGGTCTAGTAAGGTGAGCATCCACGAAACTGCCTAGGCTCCCACGAAACCAATAGGTACAGTAGGATCAATAACCCATTGCCATTGTTCTTGAGGTCTCAGTACTCCTCATTGTCCACTATGTTCAGCGAGACCGGTTTTAACCCGGGCTTTTTCAGACCCAGGCCAGCTGGCCTTGGTGAGTTCCCGATAGAACATCCCCATTGTCTCAGTGTGTGGGTGCACCCCTCGCGGTCCTGAGTTCCTTGCTTGTGCTCTCTCTCCTTCTGCTCCTGATTTGGACCTTGAGATTTCAGTCTGGTGCTCCATTGTGGGTCTCTGTCTCTGTCTCCTTTCATCGCCTGATGAAGGTTAATATTCAGGAGGATGCCTATATGATTTTCTTTGGGTTCTCCTTCTTATTTAGCTTCTCTAAGAACCCGAATTATAGGCTCAATGTCCTTTATTTATGGCTAGAAACCAAATATGAGTGAGTACATCCCATGTTCCTCTTTTTGGGTCTGGCTTACCT